CCTGGCGTGTGCCCAGCGCTGAGAGATGGGCACTGTCTGAGCCCTTCCGAGGATTACAGCAGAGAGGTGTGAGTGTGATCTGTGTGTAAACTGTGATATCTATGTGTAAACTGTGTGTGATCTGTGTGTGTGATATCTGTGTGTAAACTGTGTGTGATCTGTGTGTGTAATGTGTGCGATCTGTTCCTGATCTGTGTGCAATCTGTGTTGTCTGTGTGTGAACCGTGTGTGTGATCTGTGTGATACCTGTGTGTAATCTGTGTATGATCTGCATGTGATCCATGTGCAATTTGTGTGATCTGTGTGATCTGTGTGCAATCTGTGCAATCTGTGTTATCTGTGTGTGTAATGTGTGTGTAATGTGTGTGTAAACTGTGTGTGATTTGTGCCTGATCTGTGTGATCTGTCAAGGGATCATCCTATCAAGGGCCACTGCTTCCTCAGGTTGTCGGTGTGATCTGTGAGTAAACTGTGTGTGAACTGTGTGTAACCTCCATGTGCAATCTGTGTGTGATCTGTGTGATCTGTGTGTAACCTGTGCACGATCTATGTGTGATCTGTGCATGATCTGTGTGATAACTGTGTGCAATCCATGTGTGATCTTGTGTGATCTGTGTGATATCTGTGTGTGATCCATGTCCGATCTGTGTAATATCCGTGTGCAATCTACGTGTACTCTGTGCCTACTCTGCTTGCCCGGGAGTCTCTCCCTGCGTGACAGCAGTGCCAGCACATCCCAGATGGCCACAGCCACAATGGGGACAGGCAGACGGTCACCGCTGGGGGTTCCATTAGGGTTCCGTGCCCAAGGCAGGGTCCCAGCGCTGTGTCGCTGTGTCGCGGTGTGGCGGTGTCGCAGTGTCGCGGTGTCGCGGTGTCACACAGCCCCGACCCGCAGCCACACGGTCCCGTCCCCGGCACTCACCGCCTGCAGCTTGACCTGGGCGCACACCGATCTCTTCCTCACGGCGGCGAAGCTGCTGGCGAAGGTTTTCCGGAGGCAGGCGTTGCGGTGCAGGGCTGCCTGGGAGCGCCCGTCCAGCCCGGCCAGGGCTCGGCAGGGCAGCGGAGCCCGAGCCCGCGGCTGCACCAGCTCCCGGACCGCAGCTCTGTGGGCACACATGGCATGGGAGATGTTTTCCATCTCCTTCTACGGGGATGCAAAACCCCAAACTCGCCCCAAATTCGGAACTGGGGCTGCTCTGTGATCAGGATGCCGGGACGCCCCAATCCTCACTGAAGCCCAAGCCAAACGAGCCGGGAGTGTGCAAGCAGAAGGTTAAAATTCCCCCATGTGCACAGACATCTGCAGCACTTGGGGTCCTTTTCAATTCCAATTTAATTTACAAGGCTGCTCAAAGCAGGGGGRAAACCTGGGCAGCTGCTGGGGAATCCTCAGGGCTCTGACTTGTGCTGCATCCCCCAGCAGGCAGGGACACCTTCCACAGACCAGCCTGCTCCAAACYCCRTCCAACATGGACAATTGCATGGATGGGGCAGCCACAGCTTCTCCAGGCAACMTTTTCCATGCCCCACCACCCTCACAGCCAGGAATTCCTTCCCAATATCCCACCCAACCCTTCCCTCTGGCACTGAGAACCCATTCCTCCTTGCTCACACAACCCTCTGCCTCCCCTCCGTGTGTGGAGCTGGGGCAGCTCAGGGCAGGGGCGTCCCCAACCCCTTCCCACTGTGTCCCTTCCCTGGTACTTACACCGTGGAGTTCTGCAGCACCTGGATGGCATTTTGGGCCGACAGGTTGAACTTGGCCTTGCTGACCCAGCCCGTGAGGTCGTAGCGCACGGGGGCCGTGCCCAGCCGGTGGCAGATCTCAAAGTGCAGCGTCTGCTCACACCTGCGCAGGTGCCCGTCACCTGTGACAGCGCCAGCACCCCGGGGCCGGCCCAGAGGAGAGCCCAGTGAGGGGTTTAATGTCCACATTCCCAAATTCCCAAAGTTGGATGGAGATGCCAGAGGCTGGGGGGCCAAACCGAGCCCAACTCACCCTCCTGGTCGGGTCCCTTGGTGGCGAAGTAAGAGCAGAGGCGCTCGAAGGCGGTGCCATCGCCGGAGCCTGGGATCAGCACCTCCTCGTCCAGGATCCACAGCAAACCCCGGCAAGCGGCCCCAGGGCTGCCCGGGAGCACCTGGGGCTGCCGAGAGACAGCAGGGATGCAGCCACAGCCACGTTGGCCAGCTCTGCTCCCTCCATCCTGCTCTGTTCCCTCCATCCTACTCTGTTCCCAACATCCTGCTCCTCTGTCCTGCTCTGCTCCCTCCGCTCTGCTCCCTCCATCCTGCTCCTTCATCCTGCTCTGCTCCCTCCATCCTGCTCTGCTCCGTCCATCTTGCTCTGTTCCCTCCATCCTGCTCCTCCATCCTGCTCTGCTCCCTCCATCCTGCTCTGCTCCCTCCATCCTGCTCTGCTCCCTCCATCCTGCTCTGCTCCCTCCATCCTGCTCCTCCATCCTGCTCCTCCATCCTGCTCTGTTCCCTCCATCCTGCTCCTCCACCCTGCTCCCCCCATCCTGCTCCTCCATCCTCCTCCTCCTCCTCCACCCTGCTCCTCTGTCCTGCTCCTTCAACCTGCTCCTCCATCCTGTTCCTCCACCCTGCTCACTCCACCCTGGTCTCCATCCTTCTCTGCTCCCTCCAACCTGCTCTTCCATCCTCCCTCTATCCTCCTCCTGCTGCCCACCTGTGGTCCCTACCCCAGAGCAGAGCCAGAGACCCCCCTGACCTGATCAGGGACATCACCCTGAGCCCTCCACAGTGACAGTGCCCCAGAGGAGCCCATCACYCCAGGCTGGGAGGGCAGAGCTCAGGCAGGAATGGCCTTTTTGATGTTTTAAAAAGCCAAAAATGTCCCAATGGGTGTTGTGCCCTCCCCTGCAACACCTCAGGTCACTCTGGGACATTCCAAAGGGTCCCACTGTGCCTCTGGAGCACTCTGGGTACCTGGGAGCAGCTCAGGTCGATGATGGACAGCGCGGCCAGAGGGGAGCGCTCTGGAAGATCAAAAGACACCTCAACATTTTCCTGGAAAACATGGTTTAAAAGCTTGCTTCAGTCACGGGATGGCATCTGGAAGCCAAGAGAAGATCCACGGGCAGGGATCCAACACCAGGGGAGCAGAGCAGCCACCGGGGCCATGACACAGAGCCATGGCTGTGTCTGTCCCTGCGGATGTCCCCATGGAATGTCACACAGGCTGCATAAATCAGTTTATAATAATTGATGTGTTATAATTTATAAGAATTTCTTGACAAGAAAGTAACCAGCTATTAAATTTGCAGGTCCCTCCCTCACCAGGGGCTGCAGGGCTCATTCCCCTTCCCAGGGGAACACCAGGAGTGCCCCAGGAGGAGCAGGGGGAGCACGGCTGCTCCTTCCTCACCCCTGAACCGGGGATGCTCAGCAAAGCCATGGCTTCAGCGTCTCTCCATAGCAACAGAGAGGTTCTACCGAGGATCTGGCTCTGCTGAGGGATCTGGCAGCAGCAGGGACCCAGCTTCTCCTACCCAGAGTCACTGTCACCCACGAGGGACCCAGCACCGGGAGTGAGGGGCTCACAGAGCGCTCTGGGGCTCACAGGGCCACATCCTGCACCATTCTTATCCAGCAGCAAAGCCCAGACAGGGGGAACCTGCTGAGCCCTCCAGCATTSTGGGCAGCAATTACATCTTCATCAATAGGGAAGTGATGAAGAATAGAGAACTTCATCACTAGGGAAGGGCACATCTGTCCTCACTCAGTGATGTGTGTGTTAAACCACGGGAATTCAGCTTTTTCTCCAGCGCCAGAGGCATTACGGTGACTCCTTCAAGCCTGTAATAAGTTCATCTCTGCCTGTAGGTTTCTGAACAGCTTATTTCTGCAATAATTTATCATTTTCCTTTCTATTCTCTATTATTCATCACCCGAAGAAAAAGCCAGCCRTGCCGACAGAAGRGYATGAAGYYTTCTGAGCTRCAGCAAGCATGTCAWAGAATTCCAGAATGGTTTGGGGTGGGAGGAACCTCAAAAAYCATCTCATWCCAGACCCCCCTGCCACGGCAGGCTCCACAAAGGTGCCAAGGGAGCAGAAACAGCCAAGAGGACTCAGAACTCAGGCAAGGGGTGAAGAAAGAGGCATGAATGCAGACCCCATTATTTCTGCTGCAGCCCTCCCAGTAAAGCTCCTGAATTATTCACCACGGTGGGGACACGGGCACCCCTGGGGACAAAGGAGGTGCTCCCAGCCCCTTCTCCTCACCTCTCGGTACCTCTCCATYTCGCACAGGAAGGTTTTCTCGTAGAAGAGCCCCTGCAGCCTCTCCTGGACGTAGTTGTGGCACAGCTCCTCGAAGGTGGCYGCTCGCTCGCCGCGCTGCTGCCGCGGGCTCTGGAAGCCAGGGGTGTCCACCACGGCAATGGAGGCCACCGAGAGGTGCTGTGAGGAGAAGGACCTGGGGACAGCCACACACGGCACCAGGATTTACCCACGGGGCAGCAAAGYGGTGCCAGATCTCCGTGCTTGTGCCACAGGAGGGCACGACACGGCAGTCACAAGTGACAGAGCTGTCCCCACATAAAAATTTTCACACAACTTCCAGTTTTTCCAGCAGGAATCTGGAAAATTCCATGCCTCTCTCCTCACCAGCCACGGAGAAGAGCTGCCACCCCCAGCCCCGGTGCCCAGCATTCTTYAGTACCTGTTGATGAGCGAGACCACGGCGGCGAAGAGCTCCTCGTAGAGCCCCGAGGCCATTCCTTCCACGCACTCTGCTCCCGTCATCTTCGGCCCTGGTGCGGCGGGAGGAGAGAGCAGGCACACACACAAACACACACAAACACACGGCTTTTATTCCCAGCTCAGTTCCCCAGCCCGGGATTCCTTGGATTTCCGTGTGGGAVAACCCCCAAGGCTCTCCGGYATCGCTCCGGGACAGCCCTGCACATCCCCCCCGCCAGCATTCAGCCCTTCTCCTTAAATTCCTGCATTTAAGGAATACAGTTATCACCCTGTCAAAGCCCACTGCTTCCTCAGGTTCCCCCTTTTATAACAATAACTTGGAATTCTGCTGCTGAGGATCATGRAATTTTCAGGGTTGGAAAGGTCGAGTCCAACCTTTAAGGATTGTGTGAAAAAATCTCACCCTTCTACCGTGCTGGATCCATGCTGGATCTGCCCCAAGGACTGAGATCCATGCATTAATTTAAGATTTTTAAGCTCAGCAGTGCAATCCCTGATCCAGATCTTCTCGCAGGACACAGGAGATCGAAGCACAACCCCAGCTCAGCTCCATTCTGTGGAATTTAGGGATTTTCCCCCTTTTTCTAGGCAGAGCTCTCACAGTGTTGAAGCCCCATCACTGCTCTGAATTCACCTGATTTCCTGTGTCCCTGAGGAAGGTCAGGGAGCTGGAGAGGTGAGGGCAGCGACGTGACACGGCACAGTTAATTATTATGATTTAATTAATACTAACAGGTCAGTGTGCCTGAGAAGAACAAGTTTCCTCACCATTCCCTCTCCCCAAGAAAAGAAGGAAAAAGGGATGGAGGAGAATTCCAGGTACCTGGCGGGCTCTCCTCTGCCGGGGGCTGTCCCCTCGCTGTCACCTGCGCCAGGATGTGCCTCAGGTGGTGYTTGAAGACGGCGCTGCCGAGCTCCTCCACATCGCATCCCAGCACCTCTGCGGCGCGGCTGGCGCTCTCGAAMCGCAGGAATTGCTTCCTGCCCACTGGGGAGGGGTACGGGGGGCTCAGAGAGGGGCAAATCTGCCTCAGCATCGCCAAAAAAGCTCCCACCCCCTCCCTCATGCTCCGCCAAAATCAGAATTATCCAAGGCGAGTCAGCGGCCAGGGAAAAAACGTGACATCAGTTGGTGTTTGAAGGGTTTTGGGGGATTAMAAACCAATCCCTTGAAATCCTGGATCACCTTTCCAGGCCCCAGCAGGGCTCGCTGTCCCGGCAGCCGGGGAGCAGCCGCTCCTCCCTGAGCATCCCTGACAGCCGGAGATAACGATTCCCGCT